TAACTGGATTCCAAGCACGTGTAGGGCGTTGATTGCCAATGTGAACTAGATAATCCGCTCAAAAGTTATAATCTGATAATTTAGATATATATATATATATACCTTGGTACAGATATCATGTATCTGTCTGGTTCAACCATTTTAGTCTAGTAGAATGATCGAGGATTACCTAGATAACTGTGTATTATGAACGATCTGTTGGATATATCTCTTTGTTTTATTTCTATAGCAAGAAAACGTTACTAATAAATTTTTGTTTTCCCAGATGATCCTGTTGTAGTGTCAATTTTGGATGGGAACAATCTGCGTGTTTTCTTAGATGATGAAGATGATTTTGCAATGCTAGCTGAGTCCCTTTTCACTGATTTAGATACAGAAGATAAAGGAAAGATCAAGAAGAGTGAGATTAAAAATGCTCTTATCCACATGGGGGTTGAAACGGGTGTACCACCTCTCTCAGGTTTATTCATATTTTACTTTCCTCCTTTTCTCCTTTTTTCTTGTTTAATTCTTGGTAATCTACTTTCCATTTTTACTTTGGTCTATGTCTTTAGACTGAGAATTGTCCTGTACACGCTTCTACAACGAATTTATTTGCAAGTTGGTCTTCCTGCCTTTGTTTGTGGAATTTTTCAAAACTGTCTGCTCAATTATATCCACTGTTTCATGTGTTCAACATATCATGTTTAAAACTCCCGTGCATAAGCTTCTACAAGGGTATTTTGAATCTCCTCTTAGTGGTACAGTAGCTAGCTACATTATACTGGTACAAGTCTCTAACTATTTGCAGAAAAAAACATACTGCATCACATGTTTATCACGACTATGAATGCTTTCCACGTTAAATGGATGGATGAATTTCTAGAATGTTGTAATACATTAAAGAGATGCAGATCAGACTCATCAATGAGAAATTTTTGTATGAACATTCTCTTTGGATTTTCCTAACTTGGAAATGGTTTTTAAACACCTTTTCTCTACTATGACGTAAGGAACTTTAGTTTTGAGCATTTGTTCTATTTTTTAACTGATCAGTAAAAGGACCCTACTTCACATATGAAGTTATAACCTGTGTGCATTTGCAACGAACTTCTCTTTGTAACATACCAGTGATGAAACAGAATATCCTTTGCTGAGCGACATCTTGCAAAAACACGAAGTGGAGAGCAGCAATGAATTGGGCCAAGCTCAATTTGCAGAAGTGCTTCAGCCTGTCCTTCAAGAGTTAGCAGATACTCTTGCAAAAAAGCCTTATGTTTTCATTCAAAGTATCAAGGTCGCTAATGGAGCTCGGATAAAAAAGGTAAATCGGTACCTTTCCTTTTCTTCCTTGGACATACCCTTCAATGATATCTTCCCCTTGACATTGGGAATTGGGAAGTGTTGTAAACCCTTTTTTTGTGAGAAACTTTGAAAGTGTAGTAAACCCTTAATACCATCATTAGCATATTTTCTTAGACAAGTTTACTGGCCTGGTTTATCTGCATCCGACATTTTACATACTAGAAGGATTACACCCATCAAATTGTGGATTCATTAATTTTGGAAATTTTAACATTATACTATCAGTAACAGGCACTGACAAAAAATGGGTAAGCCCCGACCTGTAGTTTCTTTTCCCCTTAATTTCTGCACTGTGTTGACTAGCTTCTGGATCTTAGAACTATCCACTGCACTTAATACCATGTGATATTGTTGTTATTATTTTATACTCGAGGAAAATATTCTTTCTGTTGGTCTTATGATGATAGATACCACTGAATGCAGTGAGCTAGTTCACTGGAGTCGAAGTTACCAATTCTAAGGAGTCCATATCAATTTATGTCTGATCCTTCACATATAATTTCCTTCAACCATATTCTCTTCATGAAGTAGAGCCAATCCTAATTGATCTTGTAAGAGACATGCTATTGAACAAATCTGTTTTCCAAATGATTTATATCGTCAAGTATACCCATTCCAAATTAAGTGACCTGCACTTCAGATATTGTAAACTGAATGTATATATACACAGTGAGATCTGGTAGTTTTCTTCTTTGTGATGAAGTTTTATTTTCATCTAATCTACTCTAGTGAACATCGACTTGCATGACTTCTTACTACTATTTGGGAACTATGAATACTTTTGAAAATATTGTAATTCCTGATGTGAGTTGCAGCTTTTGGCTGACGAGAAGCAATTCAGCAATGTCATAGAAAAGCTCTGGCAGTGGCAGGGAACCCATAAAGAAGAGGATGAGGTAACAACTTCGCAAAATATCAGGAATTACTTCGAAAAAGAATGGAGGGAACTGGGCTTGCCACCTACAGAAGCCAATGATGCCGTGGTTCTTCTCTATGATGCAATATTTGCTGATATAGCGAAGGAGAAGTGTGGTTCAATATCCGAAAAGAATCAAGTTGAAAAACTTGCAAAGGAGATTTTGGAGATATTTGTGGAGCAGCTTGAAGCCAGTCCTGTGTATTATGATTATGACCCCAAATGAGCAAGGCGACCGTGTTACATCTGAAGCTCGGGTCATCACTTACGGAATCGGTCGTTTCTTCGATCATCATTCTCTTATGATCAGGTACGAGCATTTAAGAGTAAAGTAATTATGATATCAAACTTGCGTTGGGGGCTAGCATGTTATCCTGAAACATAGTCATGTTCATTATATACCATACTGAATTTGGAGCCCCTTGAAGTGGCCAATAGTTTTATACCATGACATACAGAATCAGAATAAAATGTATCATTCAGATGGGATTTAGTTATACATTTTTGTGAGGAACAATTTATAATCCTACCAGAAAAAATCATGTACTGCTAGGTGAAGCTTTTGTCTGGTGAGATTAAAAGTAAAATGCATGCTTCATTTGCATCCTTTTCTTTGCTTGCTTTATTGATATTTATTCTTTGAATTTTCTTGTTTTCTTTTCGGAAAGTGCACCTTCTTTTCCATAGGTTATATATAATGCATAGAAGCCCTTCCAAAAAGTAGAAGCCTCAACACTCTAACGACCCAAACCCACCACTAGCAAATATTGTCCTCTTTGGTCTTTCCTTTTCAAGCTTCCCCTCAAAGTTTTTAATGCATTTGTTAGGGAGAGGTTTCTACGAATGTTTCGTTCTCCTCCCCAATCGATGTGGGATCTCACCTAACGTCCCAAACCCACCGCTAGCAGATATTGTCCTTTTTGAGCTTTCCCTTTTGAACTTCCTCTCAAAGTTTTTAAAACGTGTTTGCTAGGGAGAAGTTTCTACACTCTTGTAAAGAATGTTTCGTTTTCCTCCCCAATCGAAACCAGAGAACCATTAAACCTTTACTAACTACCAAATTTCTTCCCCAGCTTTCTTAAATTCTTTGAAAATTCTATTATTTTGTCCAGCCAAATACCTCACAAAATAGAACAGAAACTTGTTTTAGTTTATGATTTAACCAAAATTAAAACAAAGATTATTTTTTTTCCTGAAATTAATTTTTGTATATAAATGTTGATTCACAATCTCAGTGAAAATGACCTCTACTTTATTCGAGAGCTTTTTGAGGAGTCCACGTATAAGATTTTATTTTGTGAGAGTCGTCACTTAATGAAACACGTTACACTACTATTTTCCACATCTTCTTGCCTTTTGCCTCTTCCCTAAGTTCATTTATTTTAGTCTGTCGAACATAATTCAACTAGTTAATAAGTTCGGCTAATTTTTTTGTCGAATAATTTTTTTTTTGTATGTGCAAGTATTTGAACCATGTAACATGATTATGACTATCACGAGAGAGACGTATTACATGACAAGCCTTGAACTTTATGTCTCATTTCATTGCTTACATCTCTCCAAATATTGAAGATTAATAAATGAGAAGATTTATTATTATTATTATTATTATTTGCTTTTTTGTGAACTCGACGTGAGAGCCTCAAAAGGTATATGCTCATCAACTGGTATATACCCAAATATGACCTTATTTATTGGTCTATGGTCCCATATGTTTAGAAATAGTAACATCAACAATAATTTCAGGTTGATTACAAAATATTAGTATTGCTTCTACAAAGAGCATATTTACTCACAAGGTTACAAATTTTCTTTTATTAGTATCGGATAGGTTAAAAATTTCGTATTTAATATTAACATTAAATCCCTACCGCGTCATAAATATGTCTTAACTAATAAAGATGTTTAATATTGATTAATTAACAAACGAGTTGTGTTTAATACTAATAAAAATGTTTTAGCTATTGAACTATACTTAAGTTGATATTGATTTTATACTCGTTACGGGCTATCCATTACCTAGGTAGGCCATTGCCCCCCAAAAAAAAAAAAGGACAAGGAAAAAGGGGCAGTTGAAAATGAATTGGGAAACGTACACGTCCTTTTAAAAGGACCACAAAGCAAAAGGTGAAGCAGATGGGAAGGTGGCCTCATTGGCACCAAGTGATTTCTCTTCTTTCCCTTCTTGAACCATCACTTTTTGCTTTGATTTTGATGGGTTTTATCGTTTAATTTCTATCATTCCCTTTTACGTATATGATTTTCTCGACGCGTCAAATCTCATTGACTTGTCGAGTACTGTTATTTATTGTGTTTTTGTTGGCTTTCTAATAATGTCTTCAAAGCTCATGTCAAAGTTCTAAAAAAAAAAAAAACCTCTTATAAGAGTGGGGAGAAGACGACAATATATAACGGGCCAAAGCAAACAATATCTGCTAGTGGTGGTTTGGGCAATTAGAAATGGCATCAGAGCCAAATATCAAACGGTGTGTCAGTGCAGACGTTGGGCCTCGAAGGAGTGGATTGTGAGATGCCACGTTGGAGAGGATAACAAAGCATTCTTATAAGGGCATAAAAATCTCTCCCTAACAAACGCAACGAACCGAAGCGGACAATATCTACTAGCGGTAGACTTAGGTGGTTACAAACAGTGTCCTACTTAGAGTTCATAGAATTCAACGTTATCGGATTCTAAACTTAGATAAACGTCGTAAAAATCATGGTTCAGACCTCTGCTCTCTGTTGAACGAAGCATAGATTTCAGAATTAACAGTTTACTGGAAAATCTGTAAGAAATCAGACAAGAACATGAACCTGCTAAACAAAACTACACTATTTCCTTAAGGGCATGTAGAATTGAATAGAATAGTAGGAGGCATATAAAAGTATCCAGTAACATCTTAACACTACAGAGAATGTAGTAGGTAGTAATAGCAACTTTTGAAAACAGCTAGTATAGGTCGGGTTGCACCGATACAACCCGAACGGCTTATCCGGGTGTTAACTAATTACTCTTTACCATCGGCAGCACGGAGTGACCCGAGTTGAACCGGAGCTTGGGTACCAACGACCTTTGATGATCCATAAAGTGAGAGGTCAATGCCTTGAGACTTCTCTTTTTCAATCTGCTCCTTGATCCAGAAGTAGGTAATTCTCAAACCATCCTACACATAATATACAGGAAAGCATAGGTGACGAAGTTGCGAAGAATTTAGGATCGTCGAGATGAAAACGAATGGCTCGACATTTACCTTCAACTTCATTGTGGGAGCCCACCCAAGTTTCTCTTTAATGAGTGTGTTGTCCGAGTTACGACCACGGACACCCTCGGGACCAGGGATGTGGTGAATTGGAAGCTTTTTGTTATCGAAACTCAGAACGATTTCAGCCATTTCGTTCATGCTCACCATCTCGTCGCTTCCAATGTTCACTGGCTCACGGAAGTCCGACTTCGTCAATCTGCAAACAGAAGTTCGATGATTAAAATCTCATCCTGAGCGAGCTATGGTTTGTAACAAAAGATCGCCAAGCAATCGAGCTGTTCGTTCACTCAACAAAGACATCAATCATTAAGCAGTCACCCCAACTCATGAATCAAAAAGTTCACAACCAAACAGATCAGTGTACAGCCTACATACAATCTATACATCATTTTCCCTTTAGCTCAACCTTAATTTAGTGAAGCTAGAGCTGAAACCAATAAGCCAAAAAGTACTATAACGGTCATGGTCAAGTGTGAGATCCCGCATTGGTTAGGGAGGAGAACGAAACATTCTTTGTAAGGGTGTGGAAACCTCTCTCTAGCAGAGACGTTTTAAACCCTTAAGTGGAAGCCTAGCAGTGGGTTTGGGCTGAAACAAATAGTATCAAATCCAGACATTAGGTGGTGTACCAGCGAAGACACTAGGCCCTCAAGGGGGTGGATTGTGAGATCCCACATCGGTTATAGAGGAGAACGAAACATTATTTGTAAGGGTCTGGAAACCTCTCCGCGTCTTAAAGCCCAAAGAAGACAATATCTCCTAGCGGTAGGCTTGGAATGTTACACCAAGCCCATCTAATTCAAGGAAGGCTTCAGCCACCTTGGCCGATCGTATCAAATCCGAGAAGCAAAAATTTTAAACATGGAATTTGCAGCAGATGAGCTTTCTTACCTAAGCACACCTTCAACACATTCATCAATGAAAGTGAAAGATCTTGTCTGAAGACCATCACCCCACATCTCAAACTTGTCTACAGAAGTAAGAGCCTTCCTGCAAAATGCAGCAGGAGCCTTTTCCCTTCCACCTACATGAATAAACTGATAGCTATTAGATCTTACAACATAAGCTCGAACGAAATATAACCCTTTTCGGCATTTCAATCTACCTTTCCATGTTCCGAACGGACCATAAATGTTATGAAACCTCCCAACTCGACACTCGATACCAAAATCCTTCGTATAATGCTTGCACAACTCCTCCGTAGCAAGCTTCTCCAAACCATAAGCATCTTGAGGCTACAAAACAATCGTTAACACGGTTTTAATAACGACATAGCTAACAATAGCTTCGTTTCTTAGTCGTTAACATAGAAGCAAATATGTACCTCAGCAGGCCAAGCATCTGACTCTTTCAAGCTCACATTAGTTTCCAATTGCTTAAATTCAGGATAGATACAAGCACTAGATGCATAGAAAAACCTGTATCCACAAGATGGAAGGGACAAAGCCAAGAACAATGATTATACACATAAAAGCTCATAAAAATTTCTAGCTCATCCTGACCCCACCACGCACAAACCATGATTCTAAAGCGTAAAAGCATTAACCAGTCATGTACCGTGCTAGAAACCATGAATTGAGAAAGATTTTCATGAAAACTAACCTCTTGACGCCATTGATTCTTGCAGCTTCAAGCATATTGAAGCTAATCATGGTGTTATTATACATGATAACAGAGTGGTTGGATTGGATGAAGCCCATACCGCCCATATCAGCAGCTAAATTGAAGACATGGTCGACTTTTTCAGTGACCTTCAAGCAATTTTCCATCACTCTAAGATCAACAAGATGGAATTCATGGCAGAACATATCCTCTGTCATGTGTTCATTCTTTTTCCAATCAGAAGCAATGATGTAATGGCCTTCGCTCTTCAAACGCCTAGCAATGTGAGAGGCGATAAACCCACCGGCGCCGGTGATGGAGATTCTCAACTTCTCCGATGGCCAATACGGCTCTCTTTCAAGCTCCTGATAAGTGTAAGAACCATAATTCGCTTCCCCTGCGCTCCCCATTCTGCAACGTTATGGAGATTCATCATCAGAAGGGAATGTGAATTTCACAAAATTCAAACAAATCAAACGAAAAACAATAAATCAAGAACTACCCAGAAATCGAAACCCTAAATTGAATGAAAACACGGAAACATTGCGAGAATCAACAACAAATGACGAAAAGAAAGCAGAGGAATCCACAAAATCAAGTTCGGAGTTGGGGTTTTCTACCAGAAAAATGGCGGAAATTCACGATTCTAATAGATAGAATTGGGGAAGAAGACGTAATGGGCAGTGATGAAAGCGGAGAAGGGGAAATGGGTAGCGAATGGAATGGCGTGGCGCAGAGCGGGTAGGCTGTGGTGGCTATTAATAGACGAGAAGGGTGAAGTGAGCGAGGAAAGACGGCCATTCATTTATTTTTCTCTTACCCTTCCCGTTGGTCCCATGTCTCTCCGATGGGATCGATGAACACGAGACGTTAATAGCAACTCTGTAAAAATTTAGGATCGTTACAAAAAGATTCCTACTTTTTTTACCATTTTTTAAAGTCAATTCCGAAGGATTGAATTTGGACTAAAAAAAGAGCGTACCTTTCGATTCGTTTACGATTTCGTTTATAATTTTTGCTTGTTTTCTATTCGTGTTTACTATGATTTTAGTAGGTACGTTTGCGAGTCAAATATTCAAAACTTTAGTTCAATTTCGAAAATATTTTTAGAATTAGATTATAAAATGAAGAGATTTGTGTGGATTTAGTGTTTATAAACTTAATGATTATTAGATGAGTCCGGGATGTTTTGTTTTACAGATTATTGAACTTTCAATTTAAATGTCGGATGTTCTACTTCATAGATTTTTCGACGTCCCTCCCGACAAGCACGAGCTTATCGACATGAACCGCGAAGCTTATTTGAGAGATGTTTCTTAGAAAGAGCAGATAAATCAAGTTTTGCTTTCGATGAAATAATTAAGAATATTTTTAGATTAAATTTGTAAACAGTGTTTCTACTATTGTCAACTTCTCCCTCCCGATAGTTATATACGTGAGCCGTTGTTGTTACCTTTTTGCTTGCATTTCATATAACACCAATTTCAATCTTTCAAATCTTGCTTTTCGAAATCTCTCTGCCCCTGTTTTCTAAAACTTTCTTCTTGAATCAGGATTAGAGGCTCGAGCATACATCGCTTGGTCGTAGGCGATGCAAGAAGGAATTGGCTTAACTCGCTTCTTGCTGGGAAGTGAGTGCCGCACAATTGCACGTCGGTAAGTTTTTCTGCTTTATTATCCACTTTCTATTGACGATTTCAAAAGCTAAAAACGTAATGATTATTAAACGGGTTTTAGAGACTAGATTTACAAAATAATTATTTTAATTTTAATACAGTAGCTTAAGCTTCAATTTAGGCGCGGAAAATTTAAAATTTTCAACTTGATCCTCGTAAATTTGTTAAATCTCAATGTCTCGAGTTGACATAATTGTCTTGCGGGACAATTCTTTGAACATCCAACATGTTTTTATTAAATGTAAAAGGGTGAGAAACTTGTAATCTAAGACGAGATCCGACCTTAAAACATGTTTTAATAGATTTAATTAAACTATAATCACATGAATTAAATTTTTAAAAAAATATATAGAAATATTTAATGATGGAATTAAAAAGAAATGATTGAATTTTTACTAAATTTTAAAAATAAAAATAAATATTTAAAAGAACCCTTTAGTTTTTAAATATAATATTTATTGAATTATTGGGAAGGTATAATATCTTTTAATTTCTTTAAAACTAAATAGATATTGTTCGTCTTGATCCGTTCGTCTTCAAAGTTTCAAAGATGCAGAGGTTTCTACATCGTTTATAAGGAATATTTCGTTATCATCTCCAACCGTGAGATCTCACGATCTACTCCTTTTGTAGGCTAGTGTCATCGCTAACACGCCGCTCACTGTCTGGCTCTATACCATTTGTAACAGTCCAAATCCATTGCTAGCAGCTGCTTTGGCTCATTACGTACCGTCGTCGTCAACCTCACGGTTTTAAAACATATTTATTAAAGAGAGGTTTTCAAACCCTTTATAAAAAATGTTTCGTTTTCCTCTTCAATCGATATGAAATCTCGCGTGATTAATTAAATAATAGTGTTTTAACAAAATTAAATAAAGTTTATTATAAGATGAAATTATGCAATATGTTATAATATCATAATATTTAAATAGATGGAAGTATTAATACGCTTCATGAAGTCCTATGATATGTTTGAACTTTGACCCAATAAAATATTTATATGTTTTTTTTTCTTTTTAGTACAAATTGCGTAAAAGAGAAAAAAACGAGTTAATTTATCCCGTTTTTAAATATCTGATTACGACTTTGTCAAACTCTCGAGCCATTAAAACAAAATATAGTATTTAGTAACGTTTTGTTTTGTCTTCTTTATCGTTCACAAAAACCTTCACGTCGTGATGGGTAGTCCAAAAACTACTCTAATCCTACAAAAGTTGAAACTTTGGTTATCAAAGACAGGGAGCTCGGATGTGCCAATATGAACATAGCTCAACCATAATTGATATAAATTTCTTCCTTTAAGATCAAAGATTAAAATCCCCAAATTTCATATTTATTATATCTAAAAAAAACTTCGATTTATAAGAATATATGAATTCGTTTTTACGTAACTTATATATATCACATGGAAATTAATATAAATATTCGACCGAGAATACTATCTAATGTGAAAATGCTCGTTTGAAATAATAGAGAGTGGAGATGTCCATAAGGTAGGGCAGGGACGAGAAAACTTTCTCATCTCCATCCCGACGTCTATTTCAACCTCTCTTCTCATAAAAAAATTTCATTTATTTTTGCGATGATCGAATTCTCGATAAGAAATATCTAGTTAATTCTTTATTTGTAATAAAATATTAAACCGAATATTATTATTTTTTTTTTTAATATTTTGAATCATTATATACAATCAAATAGAAAGCCCCAAGAGCGTCATATTCTAGGAGCCCAAACTATGTGATTGAATAAATCCTCCTCTATCCGTTGCGGGTCGAGGACTCCTTCTCCTTCCCCTTCTTCAAACTCCGATTCGTATTGTTCATAGAGAAATCTCTGATCAACGATAGAACAAGATCCATTTTGCATCATATCTAGGAAATTCCTGGGTTCGGGCCGAAGAAGCAATGTCGCTCGATCATTATCAAATCGACTGCAAAAAAAAATTAAAAAATTGCAATTAAGTCCCTCTTCTTGTTGTAATTAAAAATGAATATTGACCGAAATATTTTAAATATTATTTTAATTAAAAATATATATAATTCAGGAAATAAAAATTTATTATCATATTAAGGATTCATTTTTTGAGCCCTACCTACCAATTGTCAAATTAAAAAAAAAAAAAAAAATTAAAAGGAATAAAATTTCAAATCATGTATCCATTTCTATGTTCAATTTCAACCATGTTTACTGAACGTAGATTTGATTAAATATTCGTATATCTCGAGAATAAAATGGAAACATTTCAAGGATCGAGAATGAAGTATGCTAAAAAAGAATTGAACGAGAAAAAAATTTATTACAAATTGAGTCACTGAACTTTAAAGTTTATGTCTATTTAGTTCTTAAACTTTTAAAATTAAAGTTAGTTTCTAAAATTTTTTAGTTTTTTTTTTAATATTGAAAAATCTATTATATACGAAATTTAAAATGTAGAATTTTTTTTAGCTATAAAATTTAAATTTATATCAATTAACTTTAATATTTTAATTTTTTTTTAAAGACTTAAAATTTTTGAGACATATAAATAAAATTTAAAAATTTCAATTCAAATAAACACCATTTTAAAATTCAAAAAATAAATTTGAAATTTAATAAAGGCTAATTATCCATGGATTTTGTATTTTATTTTAAAAATATTCTTAAATCATTCAAAAATTTCAATAATACCCTTAAAAAAATTAAAAAAAAAAAGTATTTTTACCGTTAATTTTAAATGGAAATCGTTAATACTTTATTTCAAAAATACCCTTAAACTTTTAATACTATTTTAAATATGCTCTTAAAACTTTAAAAAATTTCATTAATATTCTTCGTACTTTTAAAAAAAAATTTAAAAATACCTTTATTGTCAGTATTTTATTTAAAAAATACTTATAAAATTTTTAAAAAAATCATTCCATCTATTTATAGATACAAACATATAACAACACTTCATGGATTATCTCCAAATTATTTAATGTTACTTTTGAAAGTTCAGGAATATTTTTGAAACATAGTATCAACCGTAAGAGTATATTTAATTTTTTTTTTTAAAAAATTTCAAAGTATTTTAAAAAAACATTAAAAGTACTCATAAAACTTTATATTTTTTTATTTTAAAGTTTAAGAATAATAATAAAACTTTTGAAAAAGCATTTATTAAATCCATTAAATTATTTTTAAAACAAAACCGTTTTCATCTCAAATTAAATATTTATTTCTTTATTTATTTAGTAAAAGGTTTAGTGAGAAGAGCAAGGAGGTTAACCCCTTTCAAATATACATGGATTCCGGCTCTTCATCAGCTCCTCATCCAGTTCCACCTTTGACACAGACCTACACCATACGGTGAACCACGCGAGCAGGTTAGATGCATGCATGAGACAGAGAGCTCGTAGGATTATGAGTCTTGCAAGTCAAATGAGGATGCATGGTGATTCAATCACGGATGTTGCAGTCGTAGAAAGATTTAGCGATCTGTAACTCCAATGAGTGATCCAGTACTACGTTGGTCCCGAGGGACAGAGGAGGCTAGGTTGAAAGTTTATGAATTTTTTTTTTTTTAATAAAAATAATAAGAATAAGAATAAGCGTTGGGCCCACATAATGTGGGCCAATTTTTACATGGGCCTCAAATTGTTGAGTGTGTTATCCATTTTGAGTAGCCGTACGTATCATTGGTAAGCAACCATCCATTGGAACCCACTTGGCCTCTCCCTATCTTCAATTTTTAATTTTAATTTTTTTTTTGGGAATTTCATATCCATCACAAATTCATATTATCCTTTTATCATTAAAAAAAATATTAAAAAATTAATAATATCTCACTTTTTTATTTAAAAAAAAATTAATTTTCGATCTTCAAACTATTGCTCAACTTGGCTTACAAAATACATCGAAAATGCTGATGTACACTCAGTTATAGTCCCGTCAACGTAAACACAATAATTTCTAAAATAAATTTGAATATTTGAAATTTAAATTTGAATATATATATATATGAAGGCAAGTGGAAGATGATAATTAGCCATTTAGAAAAATCTTCATATTTGCCTTCCTTTTTATTGAACAAGTGGGAGGGTGAGGAGACAAAAAGCCTATTTTAGAGACATTAAAATATTCTTTGATAAATATTTTTCAATTA